AACTATGGTCAGCCATGTAGGAGTCCAGTGATATAACTGCTATTCCATCTACTGGCCCCCACAATAAAGTTTTATTTTACTCACCTCACAATCCAATCAAGGCTAGTGAGCAGTGGGGTGAGTTTTGTTCCATGAACTCAGCCAAGGACACAGACTTCTCCCATCTTGTTGTGTTGTTAGCTTCAGCAATGGCTAGTACGGTTGTCGTGTCCCAAGGTTGCCAAGGAATGGGAAGACCAAGAGAGTGAAGCAAAGGCTCATCTGCTCTTAGTTGCCTAGATCAACTTTTGCCCAAATTCCATATGTTAGCTCCAAGTGGATAAAGAATAATCTTTAGGAATATACAGCTCTTTGTACTCTCTCTCAGTGTTCACCTAATCCAAATGCTGACATCTTGACCTGACAACAGGAACAGAGTCACCATCAGGCTAGACAGTGGTGTGCTGGTTAAGGCAACAGGATCCCACATGGCTCCTTTACAGTTTGAGTCCCAGCCAGAACCAGTCACATGACCTAGCTGCAAAGGGAATGGGCAAAGCAGTTTAGCTTTGTGCTAAGGCAGAAGAACTGAGGTTTGGTGAGCATTCCTGACACTGCTGACATGTCACTTTCTCTCTGAAGCAAGTGCCTCGGACTGTGTTTATTGTAATGAAGCCACTAAATATGTTTGTTGAATTAGTGAACAAATGAATGACTATATATAGACTTCCAATGTTATGTTCTTCTAAGACAGAAAATGGGAAATAAATAATTTTGGGATTAGCAGGAATCTATCTACTGCCTCATCATATGAACTTTTATAGATGGGAAATTATTTCATAAGTGCTCTAGGAATTTATATTCTTTTGAAGATATGTTTTCATCCACTCAACAAATATTTGAGTGCCATATTCATCAAATACTATCTTGAGTCCTCAAGAAACCAAGTCATAATTCCTACCTATTGGTAACTCATATGGAATGATTTTAGTGGAAGAGGGAAAAGAAGACAGTACTTATAACTATTATGTAGGTGCCATGAAAGAGTTATGGATGGACTGTGGTGGGAATACTGAGACAAGGCACTGGATTCTATTAAGCATGGGCACTGGGTTGTTTCATCTTCCAGAAGAAGTGATGCATCATAGGCATGAACATGAGTCTGCCAGTTGATACCCACAGGGAGAGCCAAAAGGAATGCAATTAGGAACATCAGTTAGTTCAGATGTATGGTGGGGGTAGTGGGAGATGAGGGTGGAGGGCAGGCCTGGGCTGAGTCACAAAGCACTTATAAACTGCATTAAACAAAGAAAGAATGCCTAGGGATTGTGTGATTTGTCTCTATCAGATGAAAAAAATTGAGACACATAGTGAAAACCAAGCGGCCATTTTATTAATACGACCCAAATCTATTTTTAATTCAGGCCTGCCTCAAACAATGTAAGATTGGTAAGATTAAAAAAGAAACAAAACCCCACTCAGAATGTTGCAATGATGATCCTTTTATGGGAGCTGGTTAAATACAACAGCACCAAGGAAGGTGTACAATACCCTCTATTCAATGTCGCTTTGCTCTGAGAATGGCACAGGAAGGAGGTCCATTTCAAGGAAAACAAAGGAAGTGGTTTCATGGTTTTGCAAGAACTTTGTCAACAGAATAGATTCTTCTAAGAAAGCTCTTTTAGATGGACTATGGGAGAAAGTTAGGAACATTATGGGGTGCTGCCGCTCTTGGAACTCCAGCATCAGTGAAGGTTGTTAAAGTTGCTTAGTTAGGGGGAACCAGCAGTTAGCGTAATGGCTGTGTCGCTGGACTCCCACATAGTCCACCGTGGTTCATGTCCCGGACCCAGTGGCTTAAAACTCACGCCGGGCGCGTGTGCGTGCATGCCCAAGATCCCAAGAGGAGAATGGAGAAGGGATTGCGGCGTGACCATCCCCCCTGGGGGGTGATTTCTCACTTTCTGTCTCTATGTCTCTCTCCGTCTGTCTGGCGAGCGCACGCGCCCTACAGTGAAAATC